CATATTCTCTTTACAACATTGTCGATGCTCTTGGAAGCTCTCTAATTCGCCCGGTTCCCTCTGCTCAACTCTGGAGCTAAGTCTTCTATTATGTGGATTTCCCGACCTAGACCGATGTAGCTGGACCATTCTGACATATTCGTACCATTCAACATGAATGGTACGAATATGTAATCAGTCTGTTCTTGATGAACATCGTTTTTGTGAGAAGTAAAGTGGAAGAGCAATCTTTCCACAGACCTTATCAAAGCCGAGTTCCATTCGTTCTGTCTGGCTAGTGCTTGGTAACAAAAATTCAACCACAATGATACTGAGATATTTGTAAAACTTCGGACCGCATGTGACTGCGGTCTCGCACGAGCGCTCTATTACTCATTCCAGGGTTAACGAGTTCACTACCACACCGTACGAGTCTTTCATTGAGCCGTTCTCTCAGCAAGTTTTCTATCTACCAGTGCCAACAGCAATCACCCGTGGGTTTGATCTGCGTAGTCCAAATCTGCAATGAACGCAGTTAAGCTGAGGCTGTAGTCAAAATCGCAATGTTAGTTTTTTATTTACTGCTTGTTACAATTTATTAAGGCAAGGTTTTATGTATGATATGTCCTTTCCGGGGACTAACGCGTTCATTACCACGCTATGCGGGTCTTTTGTTTCGCCTTTCTTTGAGCTAGTTTTCTATCTACCTATGAGGAAAATGTTGTCGGCAAACCGAAGATGATGTAATTGCTTCCCATCGATATTCACTGCCACGTTATTCTATTGCAACGTTCGCATGTCGTTCACATGGCAATAAATATTTTGTTGACTATCCAGGGCTCCCATAACTTCTCTCTCATCTGAATTAAATCTTTCTTTAAATCTATGAATCCAATCTCACGATCCTTCAATGAGTCCTACTACCACGTGATCCACCGTACTGAATCCTTGAGACGATCCTCGCTCACATGGCTGTCCGTTGCTCTGTTAATCCTGTTTAGGGCCACTCGAGTAAAGAGTTTATGGCTGAGAAACAAAAAGCCAATTGGGCGGTAGTTGCCGATATCGTGGATATCACCCTTCTTGAACAATAACACGATCTTGCAGATCTTCCATTGACTAGTGGCCTTGGATTTTTACAGGCAACGTGAGAAGATCGGAGCAAGTCTGTTGATGAGGCTTGACAGATACTTCTTCAGGTGTCCATTGACTTTCTAGTCGCTGTAACAGTCCGTCTGGGTGTCGGAGTGCAGTCGTCTTGGTTTTGTACTTGGCGAAGCTTCGGTGGGCTTTGCGAACACTTTCCCAGTCTCTACAGCTTCGAACGTAATTGCTGGTATTCTCTCTTTAAGATGTTTTATCGTCTGACTGGATTGTTTTGTAAGTTCCGTCGTGAGATAGCGAAGTTACCTGTAGGTTGTGCGATTCCACGCCGTCGTATCAGCTGAAGTGTTTCTGGAGAGAGACGTCTCTTGGTGACTTTCGACCTCTTAGCTTTCATTGCGCCCACATGAGGATGTTTAAAAATTTCATCGTATTCTTCGTTGTTGTTATTATTAACGGCATTTTCTCAAGAGCTGACTACTGAACAAATCCCAGTTTATGGTGGTTCCTGGACTTAGTTTTTTGAATTTAACGGCTTTTTCTCCTTTCCTGTAGAAATAAAATCTTGTACTCTCATATGTTTTCTCTTATTAGGAACGAACAAGGCGATGGTCCGATCGCGTGTATAATTTTGGTACAACAGCGACGTCAGTAAGGCAATATTTTCGATTTGCTGCGGTATGGTCTATTTCATTATGACACTCTTCATTGGCGCACTCTCTAGCGTTGAGAGTGGGGCTTATGGAATTGCGAGTTACCATGGGTGGTTTCAATCGCTGGGATAAACTCAGACGTCCGCTCAAACTGCTCGTTGCATTCTAACCCATGGGTCACAATGTGACGTTCTTCAGACGTTGTTCTGGGTCAAGTTCTAGCGATGATATCTCTAATGATGACCTTAAAGAACATAAGGTCTTGGTAAAACTTTTCCAAACCCATGTAGAACACTTCGACTTCGTCTTTGGCGTAGCTTGTTGTCGGTGTGTAGACGATGAAGGCTGTGAGCGCTGATACTGGTTCACAATTCTTCAACCGTAAGCGTCCAATTCAGGTTACTAGACCTTCGAATGAATTGATGTTCATAGCCACACTCATGCTGACGAGTAGGCCGATGGCCGCTGACTCCTTTATTATCGCATGGTCCGAGAAACAGTTCTGCGGTGTCACAGACGGCGTTAAATGGGTGACGTCGTCTTATCTCAGCCATTCCGATGACGTCATGTCTTGTCCTTCCTGCTTACATGACCAAGTCCTCTGTCGAGGACTCAGGTGCAAGTGATCGTGCACATTTTTTCTGGAAATGAGAATGTCCTGTGTTCTTCGTGCCAGGAATCATCACTAATTCACTACCAACGTGACTGCGTCTCTAAGTGTGGATCGAAACATTGATTCAATATTCCTAAATACCACTTCGTTACGTAACGCTTTTTATTTGAGCAGTGTTGCGGAGCTGCTGAATGAACTGTTTTCAAGTAGTTTTTTTTTTGGAGATCTGAATTAACATATAAACTTCATATATTTAAGGTTTATGGCAACGAACGATGATAATTTATTGCAGAAGACTACAGGTCGATTACCAAGTGAAAACCTCTCAGTGAGCATTCAATTGATGTCTTTCTCCCTCTTAAATAGCAGTGTGAGTACAGGAAAAAGTCGAGAAATGATCATCTATATGGTTAAAATTCTTTGGAAGATTTCTTAAACAAAGCCACCTAAACATAGAAAATTTGCTGAAGTCTATCCATTTCTATTGATTGATTACGATATCTTGTTGCAGTTGTGTGCAACACAAAGCGGTCCGGATGTTGAGCCAGATTTCTATGCAGAACTAGATCCGGATAAATTAATGAATGCATACGGTTTTGGAAGGTAAATGTCATTTCGAGGAAGTGAACATCTACGCTATGGGTCTCCGTTTAGATCAGCCCTTTTAGACTATCACCTCGTTGTGATGTAAACGATGTTCTCTGGTTTTCCATTTTCGTTGCACTCGTTCTTCAATCTTCCAGCAGGATATCACTAACTGTGAACGTGGTCGACATTTCCATTTGGGAGATTTCAGCTATGAATAAACCAATTCCAGGAATTTCTCCCCTTCGTGACCACTATTGTGACAAGCTGGGAAGATCATATTACGGCCATCTACAGAGAAGAAATCTCTCATTCAATTTCTGAGACATGCTGCAACACATAAAACTTGCCACAGTGGCTTACTCAAATATCCATATAAATAAGATTAGGTTGGAGTTTTACGAGGAAACATAGGACATGCAGAATATTCACAAAAGAGTGTTCTCGAAAAATAAGAGAGGTCTTGATAAACGAGAAGAGAATGAAGACTGAGAGCTGTGTGTTTTCTGTGTTCAACTTATGTTGCTGTAACTTTACAAAAACATCTTTCTAAAAATAATCGGGTCCACTCGTGCTTGATGACATCGCCAGTCGAGCTAAATTCTTTAAACTCAGTTCGATCATTTTTTCAGATATCAAAAACTCATTTATATCTTGTGTCAGTGGACCAATTTTTTCTACTCAGCTGCCATATATGTAATGCCTTATGTCGAACCAAATCCCATACTCGAATGTGACTATGAGGTGGACGATTAGTAAAGTTTCTTATGATATTGATAATGGACCTTTAATACAACAAGAGTTGTTCGCTTACCAAGTCATTTTTGTAGTGAACCTCTCTGAAAATAGAGTAAGCCTTCTTTCATTATTATTTATTATCTTTTATTTAATTTGGTATTAGCGCAATCATCAGTGCAGTTTGTTCAACTATGCTGAGCCTTCGTGACTAATAACGTCCTGCTTGACGAGAAAATATCTTTATAAATGTATTGTACTTAGTGGTCGCATGTGGTGAAGTGATTTGGAGGCGCAATTGCAACAAACGCGTGGAATCGATCTGGCGCCCATGGCCCACCAAGCTTCTATCCCTCCGGGGTCAGAAAATTGGTACCAGACTTGTCTGGGAGGATAGCAGCACTGGCTCGATACATCGGTAGGCCACCGCGAGTCATTGTGGAGGCCAGATATGCATTCAGTCACCTCCAACGATACTTAATGAAGTCGAATGCATGGGGCATCCCTCAGGGATCGATCAACGCCGAGAGCTTTATCATTTTTAAATAGTGGTCGAGATCATATCAGGCTCCTACTTTTTCAAAAAGGGGGATCCTGTACAAATCACCATCACCATTTAAAAAATTGGCATGAAGTAGCAAAGCAACGTCTGTTCTTCGAAATGAAATACACTATAGGCGAGGTGTAAGCAGACTTCAAAGTGCAGTGAAGGTGATGTGGAACACCGCCTGAGCCTAACTCTATCTCAGTCAGAATTTCTTCGTATAGATGATTCGGCTTCACGTGTGATCCTGATCCGAAAACTTTTTTGGTCCGATTCGCTGTCTTTCATCACCCATCTACCAGCAGCTCTTCAAATTTGCGCATTGGTTTGGCTGTCACTTTACTTTGGTTTCTTCTCGAATGTCGTTGAATGTACGGAATGCTGGAAGCCATTTCAACTTGTTTTAACAGAAACAATCACATGTCATTGTCTTAGTGCCGAACGCATTCAGATCCATTCGTAAAGGTGACGAAGTGCATACTCAGCCTATTCATTGACTTTTGAGGGCCTATCATTTCACCAAATCCTCGGTTTTTTTTATCTTCCCATAAAATCATAGTAGGAATTTTAATTGATTCTGGTACCGATGTTTTAAATGCATACGAATGGAAGGATTGATAGGCTTGGTGCAGAGCCTAACCATAGACCCCTCCACGTGACAGCAGTAAAGTTTGAAAAGCCGCGAAAAACGCTAATGTCATGCTAGTTGTGTTCTTTTATCGGAACAGTAGAATATGAACAATTCACAGTTCACTAATTGATTTTAATTAATAGATAGAAATCAAAAATGTAAACCAGTATTACGGTAGTAGTTTTTTTAAAGAACAAATCGATAACGGTGGATGAAAGCTGTTGGATCGTCGAAAACAACAGTCACTCTTTATATGGTAAATGTGGTTCTGCTCAAGGAACAAAGCTTGCGTAAGTAAATTCTCATACACAGTAGGCAAAAAGAACTTCATCACCATTCGAGAATCAATTTTAGGATTAAGGATCCTGATTTTTCTACCACATTAATTAAAGAATTCGGTATTTCTTGTAGTTCATTTTTTTGGAAAGAGGCTGGGCTAACTGCATTCACTATTGGTGCGTTGAAAATGTCAGACCATATTTTTCCTTTTCCTCTCCGATTAGAAACAATGAAATAGAAAAAACTGGCAATTTTTCACAGGTTTTTCTAGGTGCTGTGTTTGCTGTACCTGTAATGTCAGCGCTAGCTGACGAGTACGGACGTAGACCGATCACATTAGCAGCCATGACCGCTTCGTGAGCGCAGTTTCCCATCCAGTTTCCACTTTTTTGCCATATCTGACAAGCATAAAGAGTCGCGACATAGTGTCCATCCTGTGTTCATCATCACTTGAATGTTAAGCTCTTTCTAGCCATTGTCGAATTCCTTCCATTCCATGATCACTGCCAAATGGCAATCCTTGAAAACTTGAGGCAAAAGTGTCTATCTGTTTCCCGTCGGTTGTTTGTTATTGCGAAAGCCGGTAGAAAGTTTCGCTTTAGAAATTCTGATCGTTTAAACCACTGAGCTAGAAGGGTCACTAAGCTATCAATGATTGGAAAGGCCACCGAAGCTTCCGCAATTACAAAACCAAGATGATTGCACACCGAGGCCCAGACGGAACGATCACAGCTTCCAGAAAGGCGCTGGAGAAAGCCATTCACTGTTGCTACTTATTTCTCTTCAACAGCCAAGTCTTCCTGCCCTCATGTGAAATAAAAGAGGTTGGATATGTTGTACTATCGGTTGTCCTTTCCGAAATCCGATATGCTATTTCGTCGGTGAAGAATCACATCTGAACAACTTTCCGCCAGTCCTCATAAACTCACTGGTTCGGTTCCTCACAGGTTATCTATGTGAAGGCAAAGTTCCTACTCAGTGGAAGACAAGCAAAGACCGTGCTATTGTTCAAGAATGGTGTCCTCCACGATATCGGCAACTACTGACCAATCTGCTTGCTGTCTGTTGTCTGCAAGCTTTCCACTCGAGTCATCCTAAACAGGATCTACCGAACACTGAACGAAAGACAGCCATGTGAGCAAGCAAGGTTTCGAAAAGTATTCGAGCGTGATAGACAACATCCAAACGATAAAAGGACTCATCGAAATATCACGAGAGTACGAGAGACCGCTCTGCCTCACTTTCATCGATTTAGAGAACGCTTTTGTCTCGCCTGTGAAAGGAGCAATCATGGATGACCCTGGGCAGTCAGAGATTCGCTATTCGATATGTGATGATTCTTCATAAGCTATATAAAAATTTCACAACCAGTATACCACCGTCCTACAATGACATTGACATCGAGGTCAAATGAGGGTTCAGCTAAGGACATATCGTCTCGCAAAAGTTATTTACCGCTACCCTCTAAAGCGTCAAGCGGACATTAATTAATACGGGCAAAGTGGGAGTGAAAGTCGATGGTTGGCAACTATACCATCTTCGCTTTGCTGACAGCATCGTTCCTATAACACTAAACAATAGCTAGATGGAATGAATGCTTGCCAAGTTTGATACCATCCATGGAAAGGTTAGTATTCGACTAGACCTCACGGAAACGATGTTCATGAGGAACGGGTTAGTTTCGTATGTCCCATTCACGCTCAACGGAGCGAATATCTCCGAATGCTCCAGTTATGTCTATCTAGGTCGGAAAATCAATATGATGAGCGAATTAGCTCCAGAGCTGAGCAGAGGGAAACGGGCGGTCTGGGGAGCTTTCAAGAACATTGAGTATATAGTGAAGGGAATAATGAACACACATCACCGGACTCTTTGTCTACCTTTTCGACTCCATGATTTTTTCCTGCCTTAACTTGTCTGTGAGAAACCTGGTCGTTGCGTAATCACGATTAGAGGTCACTTAGTGTCATTGGACGCGCAGTCGAAAGGACGATGCTAGGAGCATCCCGTGTCACACAAGTGAGGAAAGGATTCGAAGCTTCGAATCACGTTGCAACGATCAAAAATCAAAGGTGTCGTTGTACACACCAAAGTGTCGGAAGAAAGATGGGGTGGACACATTAGGCGTATGGACGGCAGCCGATGCACAAGAGCCGTTAGTGACTTGGATTCTTCAGGATGTCAAACGTAATAGTTCTTCACGAAACCCCTAGAAAAAGTTATGATGATCATCGAGTCGCTAGAGAGAGCAGAACTCCACATTCTTGCAAGGACAGACGTCCAACCGTTTTTTAAGGCTTTCCGAATTGCAAACGAAGTAATTGGTCTGAAAAAGAACACCAATCGAAGTTTAGTTCCCCGTCAGTAAGAAACATGGACAAAAAAATTGAAAACATTGCAATATATGAATAAATTGTAATTGTTTTAAAGTAGAGACTTACTCTACTTCAGGCTCATCGCTCATGTACTTGCTTCTTTTTCACCTAATTATTACATTTTTGTTTTGTTACGCCTTATTATTGGAGCAGCAAGTGACGTAAGCTTTTTCCTAAGTGAAGAATTTTTTAGTCAGGTGTTTTCTCTAATTTTGCGCTTCATGTGTCCATGTAACCTACTCATGTAAGCCTTGTTGTAAACCTAAGCTTTAGCCTATGTGTTAACCTAGTCTTGAACCCAACTCTTTGTTAGGCTTAATTTGGCGCTTAATTTTTTTAGACGTACTACTCTTTGTGTGCTATTCTCAGCTGTGAATCGATGCCATCAGATAGTCGTGCATGGATCACTCTCGTTCTAACGATTGGTTACTTTTATACTACGTTAAATATTTTCCACTCGTTTTCTACCGATCGAATCCCTACTGGATTGTAATCTTCCTTCAGCTTGGGTTTTCGGGATGTTTTGGGTTGGTCTATTGTCTCTCGTTATAAACGAGTGGCGTACGATGTACTTTGCATGCGCTGCTCCTGGAATTCTGCTTATACTGTATTTTATGTGAGTATTTTACGAAAATTGACCTAAAACGCCCACGTAAATTAAGATTCACTTCAGTAAAAATCCGCTGAAATTTCTGAGAATCATGTTGTAAATGAAGTAGTTGCGATTATTATAAATATTTAAGAATCATCTTAATCTATGCAGACTTAGCAGTTTAGGCGGTGATTAATAAAGAAACTCATCAAAGGGTCTCAGTTTTGCTTGTAAACCACCTTGCTCCTTTTATAGGACTTCTTAAAAGTCCTGATTCACTAAGAACCGGACTTTGGCTCTATGCAGCTTCAAGATTTCTTGATCAGATTGTGGGTGATATGATTTTCTACTGGAGATAAGCCAATATTTGAGAGGAGAATAAGAAGAGATCAATGTTCGATATCAAGTAGTTAAGCTGACGGCATGAGTAGATGTGAGCGACTTTAAATGAACTATGTCGCAGCTAGTATTTCCTTGTTTTGAGCATGATACTTTACGGGACAGGTACTACTGTAGTTAGTGTCCTACAGTGAAATGTAAGAACGAAACGTGTCGGTTTTCGTGTTCCTTGAGCTTAATGAACCATTCATGCTAGCGATAGGTCTAGACTAAGAGCAAATATTAACTGATGCTTGTTGCTCCATTGAAATGGTGATCAGCAAGGCAGCAATAGATGAACAAGGAGTCCAGCTGAAAGGTGACAACGTACCTGCAACGATGTTGCATGTTCCAATTGGATATGAAAAAGTTTCTTCTTAACAAACTTGCTGGTGAAGAAACGATGACGAAGAAACTGTGTGGTGTTGCATCACTCCTATACGAGCTTTGTCAATCAATCAGCTTTTAAGAACTTCTATCTACTTAGGTATACTACGAAATCGATCGATATTTGTTATTTACAACACCTTTGTGCACTGTTGGTTACTACTAATTTGATGCATATTTTCTTAATAACTAGTTGTTAGCAATAATTCAATAATGTGCTAGTGCAATAATCTAAGTTCTACAAAAAAGTGAGCTGTTTAGTTACCTACCAGAGTCACCGCATTTTTTAATTCAACACGCAAAATACAAAGAGATTGAAGAATACATAAAAATTTCTAACAGGTGTTTTTTCATTTTTAATTTTTGTTTTTTCTGATCAAATGGTTTTATGTATGTTATATGCTGTGGCGCAGTGATCGGAGGCAGTCTGCAACACAAACGTGGAATCGATCCCCGCGCCCATGGCCCACCAAGCCGTCCATCCCTTCGGGGTGGGGTCGGCAAATTGGTGCCAGACTTGTCTGGGAGGGTAGCAGCACTGGCTCGATACATCAGTAGGCCACCGCGAGTCATTGTAAAGGCCAGATAAGCTTTCAATCACCTTCAAACGATACTTAATGAAGTGGAATACATGGTGTGTCCCTCAAAGGTTGATCAAGGCACAGAGCTTTTTAGAACTTTATATGCTTTTTGTTTTTGCTTCCTATGAAGTTGTTCCAACGTTGTTCACGTCACAGACTGTTTACGTCAGAGGTGTAGAGATTTCCAAGTTTCTTTTTAAAGAAATAATGTAAATCTATTTACTGTATCGTAAAAAATAGTTTAGAAAATGTTGCATACCAACAATTTATCGCTGCTCTCATCTCATTCGTGTCGTTGGCACGATCTCGCGCTCGCGGTCATCCATGCCCACTATCCTTCCGAGAACGGCTTATTGATGTCATACTTTTCTTCTGTAAGAGTAAAAGCTTTGACTAAATGTATTGGCTTCTTTTTTAAATGGCCCGTCATCACATCTACTGGGCGGATCCCTGCACTTCTCGCATACGATTCGTTTTTACTCGCACTCATCGTCTACAATGCTTTTCGAGCAATTCGCGTTTTGTTCCAGCTGCTGGTTGGAGATTCTTTGTAAACGTCATGGAATGCTGGTGAAGTTAATTCTCCGTGCACTCTTGGATATAACCGGGGTAAGGCGTTCTGGATAGGCGGAGAGCGTCAGGGCGGGGATCGAATTAACGTGTTTGTCTCCTGGTTGGCGACACCACTGACCACTGCGTTATTCCGCCGCTCCTTCAACCGATGCATTAGTAGGCCACCACAAGTCATAGTGCAAACCAGATATGCATTAGGTCATGTTTACGATGCTACAAGTACTGTAGAGTGCTTGTCACAATCCACAGCGATTGACCAATGTCGCACATCTTATCATGCAGAAAAAAGCAGCTGTTACATGTGTGGTTCACAACTGAAACTGTTAGTTTTCGAGGCAACAGACATTTTATATGCTTAATTGGCAATTGTATTCGTCTCCACATTTGGAATTGCTTTGTAGTATTAGCGTTAAACAAAGTAGTCAGGCGCTAAATTCTAGGAAAAACTTAAAAAAGAACCACTTTTGGGATATAAAATAAGCTTAAATCTTAACCTTTTATTTAGTGCCTATTCTTTTTAATGGCAAGGTAGGTTGTAAAATATAACTTTCATAATGCTGAGATATTTGCAAAACTCCGGACCGCAGGTGTCTGCGATGGGGAACGAACGCGCTATTATCCTGTCCGGGGAGTAACGTGTTCACCACCACACCATGGGGGTCCTTCGTTTCGTCTGTCTCTCAGCTAGTTCTGTTGATCGGCGCCATCAGCAATCGTCAATGGGATTGATCTGGGTAGCCCAAATCGACATTGAACCCAGTTAAACTGAGGCTATAGTTATAATCACAATCTTAACCTTTCTATTTACTGCCTATTCTTTTTTATGGCAGGGTAGGTTGCGAAATATTAAAATATAACTAAGCTTAAATATTTACGTTTATCATTTGGCAGAACAATTTGGTCTGCTGCTCTTTTAAAACTTTATAATATTTTAAATTCAGATGGAACTGTACAACAGTTGATGTGAGCAGATGTCGACGTGACGGACCACCACCTGCAGAAAAACGTGAAACGCTCGGTGCTATACTAAGAAGTCCTGAAATGCTCAAACTACTGTTTATTAACGGTTTTCTTCAGTAAGATATTTATTACTGTTGCCATAAAATCAGGGCCGCGTGTAAAACAGTGGCTAAAGCTTTTTTAAAATGTACTTTTCGTTGTCGGTTGTTGGGGCGCTTGTAGTGCAGTGATTAGAGGCGTCCCGCAATACACAGGTGGTCCTTGTTTAAACTTACTCACTGGACTCATTAAGTTTTCCATCCGTACTGGATCGGTAAATTGGTACCAGAAATATGTGAAAGGATCGCGGCATTGAGTTGATACATCGGTAGGCCATCGAAACTCATTGTAGAAACCAAATGTGCACTACGTCGCTTTCAACGATGCGTGATGAAGCAGAGTGCATGACGCATCCCATGCGATTGATTAACGGCTAGTGCTTTATCGTTTATCCTTTATGGTTGCTGGATCGATCCTATGCAAAGGTTAACCAGCTCTCTCCTCATCTTTCTGAGCGATTTTGCCAGACTTGTCTGTGAGAAGAAAAACACTGACGTGTTAGGTCGATGGGTGCCTGCAACTCGTTGAATAGACCAAATATGCACTGAAACAGCTCCGCGATACTACGAATGGATTCCAACGCATGATACTTTCCTAAGGGTTTGATTAATGTCGAACGCTCCGTCCTTTACCATTTATGGTTATGTCTTAAGTTCTGAAGGTAAAGCAAAAATGTAGAAGGTTTACCACAATGTTGCTGAGATATTTGCAAAACTCTGGACCACAGGTGTCTAAGGTGGTGAACGATCGCGCTATTTCCCTTTCCGGGGAGTAACGCAATGACCACCACACCATGCGGGTCTTTCGTTTCGCCTGTCTCTCGGCTAGTTCTATCGATCAGTGCCATCAGCAATCGCCCGTCAACAGGATTGATCTACCTGATGATGTGGTGGTGAACGCGTTCCGCAGAGACTGGTGTAGTGATGAACGCGTTAGCCCCCGGAAAGGACAACAGCGCGTTCGTTCTCCACCGCAGACACCAGCGGCCCGGAGTTTCGCAAATATCTCGGCAACACTGTGGTTGCATTTCGCTTAGTAGCCTGCCGCGAAAACTGTAGTGGGCAGAAAATAAAAAGTAAAACATTGTTATTTCAACTACAACCTCAGCTTAACTGGGTTCATTGCCGATATAGGCTCTCGAGATCAATCCCATTGACGGGTGATTGCTTACGGCAAAAGATCGATAGAACTAGCTGAGAGGCAGGCGAAACGAAGGACTTGCATGGTGTGGTGGTGAAAACGTTGCTCCTCGGAAAAGACAATATCGCGTTCGTTCCCCACCTCAGACACCTGTGGTCCGGAGTTGCTTAGTACCCTGCTGTGAAAACAGTAGTAGGGGGAAAATAAAAAGTAAAACGTTGTAAAAAGTTTACTTTTCAAATTCATTCAGAGTCTACGTTGCTCTAAAAATTTGCTATCAGTAAATTTTTCTTGTCACATTATCATTAAATATGAAAGTTAAAGCAAAATGAAATTACACAGAAATCGCCTTAGTGAAGTTAAACGGAGTTGGCCAATGTGATGTTTGACAACAGAATGCTCGAGCTCTGCTGGTGAACATTCATGCATCTTCTAAAGAAAACTTCTCCTGAATCCGTAGAAGAGCGGAATGTCGGCTTCATAAGAAAATTGTAGAGACTTGCGCTCAGAGTGAAATTTTGGTATACTTCCAATGGCATGCTTCTTACAACGAAGTAAAACATTGTAGAACCGTCATAGAATCGTCTTATTGTTGTCATAAAAGCTTCCATAGAAACGGTTAGCTGTAGAGTTTGTTTTTCGCAACCGACACTATCATCGATCAAGATTAACAAAAGATTGATTTCTTGTCATCTTCAAGACCGATGAGAAACCCGATAATTTGAAGTAAAGCAAGCAGCTTTTGTACTAATGAAGAATGAACGCATGTGTCCACATATAGTATAGAGATCTTATGCCAACCTACGTCTGATAGGGATGTATTGCCTGAAAAACGTTTCATTTAAAGGAATGGTCAGATCGCAATAGGAGAACCTCACAACAACAGTGCTTATTCGAACAATATGAAAGTTTGCTTTAAATACAACTCGGAGCAGAACTTTGGAAGACTGACATATTATCTGCTTGGAAGCTTGCTCTATAGTACGTCAACGTCTTGACACAATAGTATTTAGCCAACAAAGTACATCAAGCTTCGTCAAGGAGGTGAAGGCAATTCATGTCTAGACGAAGGAAGAAGCCTTCGGCATCGATCATTACTTTGGGAATGCGGCATGCTTTCGACTCAGTTAAAGGTCTTAGAGGTGACTAAATGCATAGCGTGAGCATCCGGTCAAAATAACGACCAGAAAGTTCATATTACATGGCAACTTTAACTACTAGGCTACACATCCCATCTGTTTTGCTTAGAAACATAGTGTCGAATTTTAATTCAGTCCAATTCTCGATTTTTATCAGTGAGCGATGATAAAACTCTGGGGCTGCGCTTCCTAAATGAATTTACTTACCGTACGTTCTCTTCGGTCCACTTTAATACTAGGTTTGCATTAGTGTACAAGTTGATTGAGCTACTGTGTACTCCTTGGTCATAATGTTTACCACCATCTTGAGGCTTTAACATAAATTCGCTCGTTTTTGATGATGTTAAGGCTTGCGATGTCTCTTTATTATTACGGCCTCTCCCTTATCTCAGTTGATTTGAGTGAGGATCGATTTACTAGCTTCATGTTATCGGCATTTGTAGAGATACCCGGTGAGTCGAAACTCGAATACGAATGTGTCCTTATTCTATTAGAAATTCAACGTTTTGTAGGTGGCTTGGCTGTTCTCCCGTTAATGCTTTATGCTGGCCGACGAAATGTGTGCTTGATATCAATGGTTGTACAAGGCGTCGCCATCGCTATTGCTCCGTTTGTCCGTGGTGAGTTTTTTGATATGTGAAAGGATAAAAGGATGAAACTCTCGGCGTTGATCAAACCCTGCAGGATGCGCCGTGCACTCGACTTCATTAAGCATCGTTTGGAGGTGATTGAATGCATATCTTGCCTTTACAATGACTCGCAGTGGCCTACTGATGTATCAAGCTAGTGCTGTTATCCTCCCAGACATGCTTGGTACCAATGTGCCCACCCCGGAGGGATGGAAGGCTTGGTGAGCCATAGGCGCGGGGATCGATTCCACTTGTGTCTTGCAGGGCGCCTCCGGCCATTGCGCCACAGGCGCCCTTCTAATTGAGATATTGACTGATTATTGGTTAACTAACGACTGAGTCTGGACTACATTCAACAATGACACTATTGGAAAGGTTTACAACTAATAGCCTCTTATCAGACGTAGAGAATGAGGCACTAGCATCAGTATGGGCGAATCGTTACCATAAGTTGTTTTGTGGCATCTCTGAGAAATCCAAATGGTCATCAAACTCGAGCTGTTCGTGATACAGTCTTTTTTCATTGATAGTGAAGACTCTGTTGTGCGGTTGGAGTGTTCCTCCACTTTTCGTTTGTGTGTGGAAATCATACAGAATGTGAAAATGACTTTCAAGAACACTGTGAAGAACGATGTTTAAGGAGTTTGTTACGATGTTGTACAGAGCAAAAAGCAGTGTACATGGCGTCGTCGTTTTAATCCAATCCCAACAACATGCTTTGAAACATAAAATTTGATCGAATCTGAGTGTGGAGCGCACTAATATGGAGGCTGGTTGAAAACTAAGTGATTTGTTTGTGGTTTCCTGTAGTTTTGATGAGCTCCTTTGAGTATCTACAGGTCATTTACGAACATAGCAGTCAGCTCTAGTTGATCGGGGAAAGATTACAAAAGTACAACCTGGTTTCTAGATGACGGCGGCTCTTCCTGGTGTTGGTTGATTTTCTGAATGAAGGTACTGGACCACTAAATTTGGATGACCCAGATAGAGATATGGGCCTCCTCCTTTGCATCATACCTCCGCATGCACTATTTGTCTCTAAATCGTTGGAGAAATTTTAATTGTTGCTCAGTGAAGAGCCATTTGAAGATGTAATTTCAGTACTAATTCGACCAAATTTAGTTTGTAAAGAATAAACATATTTTTGCAAGGTAGTGAAGTTCGATAAATATTTGATCAAGTAGAATTCCTTAAACAACGTTTTTCTAGAGCCAAAATGGCTTCTCGTGTCATTCATGTTGTTTGGGAAGATGATTAACAGGTAAGCGTTAGCAATTACTGAAAAAGCATAGAAGTTATCCTCTTCAATTGATTTTTTTAAAAATCCAGTGCTTATGATTCTTCCTGAAAATGAGAGAATTTTCCTCCTTTCCTAATTCCTGATTGAAAATGAGAGGGTGTGGCACAACAATATGTCAAATTCGCAAACGACGAATACAACTGCTGTAGCGGCGATGTTATTTTCTCTCCAGCCACAGCGGGGCGCATCGTCACGGAAAACCCGTTCATATCCTAATTCTAGTCCATCTTCAATCCTTTGGTTGAGAATATTTGAGCCATTTGGACACTATGAATTGCTAGACGAAATCATCCCTTGTTTCAGTGCGTACATCATCGGAAGTAGAACTCGCATAGTACGTGGTCAAAAATTCATTGTAAATAACGGACTACCAACTCAGATTAACAGAAATGATGGATAAATTGCAACACATGGCCGCGGTTTATCCTATCAATTAAAAATTTTTCTAAATTCTCCAGTTTTTGTTGTTAAGAAGAAACCTTTCTCAGTCCAGATAAATGAAACAATGAAGGTGTCACAGAACCTTTCAACACTACTAATACTGTCGCATACAAATATTTTAATTAATGGAACCCTGTATTAACCGTAACTGCAGAAAAACTGGTGAAGAAGTTAATTGAAAGCAGGTTGGAAATTTCAGTATCACATATACGGTACATCCCATATACGTCTCTGAAATGGCTCCGACATCCGTTCGTTCGCTCTTCTACTCGCTCATCAACGGGCCACAAAGCTTAGGAATGATTGTGGCACCGTATTTGCGTCATACAGTATGTTTAACTCAAAACATCCTACATTTAAATCGCTAAACTGTACTTTTGTCGCTTTTCTATGTCTTGATACTAGATATATTGCATATAATGTACTTATGTAATATAATATAATATTACATATATAACTACAATGGTGCTGAGATGTTTGTAAAACTCCGGACCGCAGGTGTCTGCGGAGAGGACGAACGCGCTATTACCCTTTCCGGGGACTAACGCGTTTACCACTAAACCATACTGGTCCTTCGTTTTGCCTGTCTCTCAGCTAGTTGTTTTTTACACCATATTTATATATATATTTATATGTTATGTTTTCTATTCCAACAAGCTGGAAACTTATAGCCTAGAAGAGTAGTAGGATGAAAAGCGAATAGATTTCATGTTTTCTTCAGCAAGTTGATCACGAGTTCATAACGTATATCGGCGTTGGATTGTTATGTGTGACAGCAGGCGGGCTATGCGTGTTCCTTCCCGAAACTAAGAATCGACCTATGCCATCGGACATCAAAAGCCTGACCACTTCCGGTGCTTGCACGTTTGATAATAGAGACAGGGAGGAATTGATGAGGTCAGTGAAGGCAGAGATGCTTAACATTGCTTCTTCCCAAGAACGTCGTTATCGAGAATTTACTGAGATTCTTTAGAGAGCAAATGCTTGAAGAGAACGAGGCGGAAGAAATCGAGGAAAAGTCATCTCTACTTAGCGGTGATTAACCGCTTTGTCAATGGGAAACTCGAAGATTATTTGTTCGATCACATTTACAAATATTCTTAATCAATGATAACAAATGAATTTGATATAAATTATGTACTGAAGATGTTAGTCCGTCTTGCTTAGCCGAAGCGCATCGATCTTTGGGAGCAAATGAGTATCGTTTGCTGGTGGAATTGCAAAAATTGGATCAAGTAAGATAATAGTAAAAATGGTTGAAAAATCAGTATAAACCAACGTCAATAAAGAATATGGCGCAATTTTTGAAAACATCTTGAATGAAAGAAATACTAGTTGACTTTATGGTGATGATAGCTGAATAAGTTATAAAATTGTTCTAATGAGGTATTGGGCGTAAAGTTTTTGGAATTCGGCTTTTCGTTCTAGTATAATATCCATTACAGTAAGCGTATGGAGTTGGTAGCGCTATGTTAGTGATCCCGTTCATTTCGCGGACGGCCCAACCTACCCAGGCCTTGGATCGACGACTCTACGGGCCCACCAAACCTCTCATCTCTCTAGGTTTGGGAAATTAGTGCCAGCCTGGTATGGGAAAAGGTAGCGCGCTCTAATCCGCGTCAGGATTGCAGGGAGATTCGACTCTCCCAGAATTCAATGGTATTCGTGACTGGAGATAAAAAATCTTCAAGCGACGGCCGAATCCACGTGAGAAAAAGTTCCAAGAACTTCGTGGATGGTGAATACAAGCAAACGATTTGAATGGAAAAAGTGCAGGGACCCGCATATATACTTGAGGTGGAGTCATATAATGAAATACATAAATGCAATTTGCAAATTTTGTTGCTGCAGCGTGAGATCTTTTGTGTGCTGCCATGTGAAACGTTTCGGTCTTCGTCGTATTCAGTTCGGAATTGAACTGAGTCGATGGTCCACTGCTTGTCGTTGTTGTGAATGAGAATGAAACTTTTATACTAGCGTCGCGCCAGCTCGGTCATACACAAAATTATTGATTACTGTTATTGAAATCATTTTGATTACTGTGAATTGTTGATTGTCTAATGAAAATCGGTTTTTGAGGTATTAGGAAATTAGACGTTTAGAAAAACCAGTGAAGTAATACAAAATACGATCGAATAATTCAAGGAGATTCGCTAACGATGAAGAAAGTTGCGGAGGGTACGCAGAAGATGAACATTTCAAAATTGTTAAGAAAACATTCAATCAGGTAGGTGTACTTCTCCAAGACCAAATGGGATGCTATGCATCTATGGATGGGTTTTGGAAAATGCTTGTAAATGATTTCTTAGCTGTGAAACAGGTTTTGAGAAACGGGATATTTTCTTAGTGATCCTGCCCAGTACAACTGTGAATAAAAATGTGGCAAAATAGTCCCACGATTATAAGCACCTTGAAGAAAACACTACCAAACTTCGCATTAAAAAAAAGGCTTTCGGCGTTGATCAATCCCTGAGGGATGCACAGTCCATTCGACTTCATTAAGTATCGTTTGGAGGTGGTTGAATGCATATCCAGTCTTTACAATAACTTGCAGTGGTCTACCGATGTATTAAGCCAGCACAGATATTCTCCCAGACAAGCCTGGTGCCAATTTACCGAGATGGAAGGCTCGGTGGGCCATGGGCGCAGGGATCAATTCCACGTGTGTGTCGCAGTGGCATCTCCAAATGGTGCGCCACACGAGTTTTTTCGCATTATTTTGGAAAATAAAGGGATGTGAAATAAAGATGATGTGCAAAGGGCGGCTAAGTGAAATCAGAGCACTTTATTAAAGTGCAAGTTTTTTGACAGTGAGGTGAAATGAAACCGTATACTTCAATAGGATGTTTTCTCCATAGGTAAGAACACTGCTGTTTCAAAATGTCTCCGTCTGCGAGTGCGGAAAACGCCAGAATCTCTTTTCGTGCAGTCCTGAAGAGCAAAGTGAGCATTTTGTCCTTATTCATGTTTCTCTAAGTTCTTTGAATCTCATATAACAGTTGATCAACGATTATCCTTTACTAACTGCAACATTTGAATTGGAGGAGCATAGCATATATTGTGCCCAGACTGATCCGTGTCCACTTTTATAGCAGGTGTTCTCCGAACAGTTAATATTTCTGTACTATCTGTACTAAGTTCCCTGCATGAACTGCTTACTTGTAATCATGCTACCTTTGCGCATTTTGTAGATTGTTTCTTAGAGACTATCTTATGCACTCGCCTCGCAGCTATAGGGAAAGGAATTCTGTAACTTCTTTTTAGCAACTGTTCCCCTCCACTAGAGAGTTTGGGCATGGAATAAGCGGCACCAGCTGCAAAATTCTTCTAAATTCGCCATTCCAATTTGTTTTTTGTATAAGCTACTGCAACGCTGTCATAATTATTCTTTTATGGTTACGTCTTCAGTTCTGAAGGTAAAGTAAAAATGCAAAAGGTTTACCACAATGTTGCTGAGATATTTGCAAAACTCTGGACCACAGGTGTCTAAGGTGGTGAACGATCGCGATGTTGTCCTTTCCGGGGAGTAACGCGTTAACCACACACCATGCGGGTCCTTCGTTTCGCCTGTCTCTCGGCTAGTTCTATCGATCAGAGCCATCAGCAATCACCCGTCAACGGGATTGATCTGGGGAGCCCAAATCGGCATTGAACCCAGTTAAGTTAAGACTCTAGTTGAAATCATAACGTTTTACCTTTTATTTTCTGCCTACTACAGCTTTCACGGCAGGGCACTAAGCGAAATACAACCGCAACGTTGATAAGATATTTGTAAAACTCTAGACCGCAGGTGTCTAGCTCTATTGTCCTTTCCGGGGAGTAACGTGATCACCACCACAGTAGTAAGCAGGAAGAAAATTAAATTTTTATGCTATTAAGTTTTCAATACGTCATTAATTACTGTAAGTTTAGGTCTTCCCAATCTATGGGTTGGAGGATTTTCGGGTATTATCTGGTTTCCGAACGTGTTTTCGTAAGATTTCTTATGCACGTATAAAGGTTAAATTTGCTGAAGTTCTGCATTTTGAAAGCCTTCACCTAGATTTAGAATTTGTGTGAGATCATCTCTTTAAGAATCTGATAGGAACGATTGTCTGTTATTGCGAATTGGCGAGCTGTGAATGTATTAGAAAAAGGTCTTGCGTGATCTTTTAGGAAAAGCTAACGGCCTTAGTGAAGTTAAAGTGAAACAACAAGGATCAACGATAGGCTGTTATGTGGTGGCAGAAAAACACAAAGATAACTTTATCAAATGATGTTCACTAAAACAAACTGAAATTTTACGTGAGTTCAAGATCATAATAACGAGAAAGTGCGCTGTACATTTTTGAAGTTCTCAGTGATCACTTGCTGCTTTTATGACCATATGATCACATGAGAACTGGTTTTGAGTTTTGAGATGAGATGGAAGCTTTTCTCTCCATAACTTTATGAATGAATGGAGACGCTCCCAGACGTATTTGCTTTTGTAGCGAAGACGATGGGTCGTTTCAGGCAGTCAGTCCACCAAAATGTAGTGAGAAAATCGTCAACTGCATGTGATGGCAGTTTTGCTACGCGGGTTTTCCTAATCTGTAGCTGTTTGCCAGACCTCAAACTTGGAGAATAAAACCACTTGCAAGCATAATATGTACAGAACAATGGAATGAGATTTGAAATCCTTATACAGCAAATTGCAAAGCAAAGTGTTTCAGTGGGCAGTAGTAAACTAGTTAACAAACTAAATAAACAGTGATGTGGAACATTATTCAGTCAGCAAGTTTATGAAGGTGAAAGGATAAAGGACAAAGGACTCGGCGTCGATTACTCTTTGAGGAATGCGTTATGCATTCGACTTTATTAAGCACCGTTTGGAGGTGACTGAATGCATATCTGGGCTTCGATGTATCGAGCCATTGCTTCTATCCTGCGAGTCAAGTCTGGTACCAATTTGTCAAACTCGAAGAGATGGAAAGCTTGGCTAGCCTTAAGCGTGGGAATTGATCCGAAGTGTATCTCAGGATTACTCCGACCTGTGCAAGACACGCGCCCGTATGAGGGCATGAGACATAATTAAGAAACACTTCGCTGGAGTGCAGGTGTCTGCGGTGTGGAACGAACGCGCTATTACTCTTTAAAGAGGCTGACGCCTTCACCATTGCACTATGCGGGTCCTTCGTGACACCTCTCTTTCAGCTACTTCTATCGAACGGCGCCATCAGCAATCACCCGTCAACGGGATTGGTCTAGGGAACCCAAACCGGTGAACGCGTTAGTCCCCGGAAAGCGTAATGGCGAGTTCGTACTCCACCGCAGACACCTGCCGTCCGGAGTTTTGCAAATATCTCAACATCATTGTGGTTGTATCATACGTAATACGGTGCTATGAAGAATTATAGTAAGCAGTAAATAAAAAGTTATCATTGCTACCAGAAATATAACTTCTATAATGCTAGTCTCGTCCATTTTCGGCCAACGGACATAAAAAACTACCGTTTGCTACTCACTAACCGATAAAGTTGATGAGTACGATTTAGATACATCCTACTATCAGTTGGAAAAAGTTATTCGCAATAACAAATCGTATTATACTTTTGTTTTCCAACACTTTAAGGCCGGAACAGGAAAAGCCAACGAGAGCGAATGCTAGATCGGTAAATTTAGATTAGGAGAAAGAAATCAGAATGGAAACCATCTTGCAGGACTTTTGCCTGTAGTACGCCTCTTCCATGAAATTTCGTTTTTTTCAGAAAAAGGAAAGTAGACATGTGCCTCCTAATGAGAGGAATCGTTCAAAGATTTACCATTTTCTATGAAACAGAAGGCAGTTTCTTCTTGACACATCAGTAGTCTCGTCATTCCAAAGTGCATCCGATCACCGCGTTCTACGTGAGAATAATCAATTCAGCCATAAGCTGAGAAAGGACTCCTGTCATCGCCTACGAAGAACATGGTAATTGGTATATGAGGAGCGCATTACAGAACATTCCGGAT